AAAATATACATCAAATTTTTTTAAAAAACCCTAACATACACACACACACACACACACACCAGAGAAAAGAAAAAAATAGAAAAAGAGATGAGAGTCAAGTATGCAGAGTTTGGTACAGAAGGTTGTAGAGGAAAGACCACTGATTGGAGAAATTCATATGCTTGAAATACATTCATGATGCATTATACTCACAAACTGACATACTGAATTGAAACTCCTTAGTACAACTTCGTAAAGACAATAAAAATTACTATTTTATAACATTATTTTGTTTTCTCTATACAAACAGCCCCTGGAAATGCCATTAGCTTCATTAAAACATTTTTTTTTTTTACTGGGAATGATCTAAAACAAGGACTGGCTCCTCTTGTTACCTGAATATGGGAAGTACTTTCAGACCTCATGTTCCTTCATAAATCACTAATGCAGGTCCCTAAAGTGCTAGCAAATGGACCACTGGAATCTGTTGACATGTCACTTTCCTTGCTTAAGTGTTTTATAGTCCATTGTTATAGCATGAAAGGTTTCTAGTTATATTTATGATTAATTTCCAGGGTTTAATTTTGTAACAATGACAAACCTACTTTTTCTTTTCTCTCTTCTCTCTCCCTTTCTCCTTCCCTTCTTTCCTTCACCTCTCCTTTTCTTCTTTTTTCCTTCCTTCCTTCCTTCCTTCCTTCCTTCCTTCCTTCCTTCCTTCCTTCCTTCCTTCCTTCCTTCCTTCCTCCCTCCCTCCCTCTCTTCCTTCCTCCCTCCCTCTCTTCCTTCCTTCCTTCCTTTCTTTTAAACACTTTTTAAAAGCACTCCACATATATTCATGTATGCTTATACTTCTACAGGACAGAAGATGGCAAAGCAGAAAGACTAAATCTGTTTTCCATCATAGTGATCCAGTCAGTAGCTTTGGTTATATAGTTTCATTTAATAGCTTGGAGTTACCAAAAGCAGTAGGTTAAATGTTTAGATGACATCATCTGGGAAGTATCATCAGGATAAATTACAGATTTTATTAGAAGACATAAAAATGACAACATGAATATAGAGTAACTTGAAATCAAATGGAAGAGATGCCTTGTTCTTTAAGAATCTGCCCTCGATTTTTACCACCCACTATCTCTGGTAGAGGGCATCCTCATCTTTTAATCATCCCATAGCAATAACCTTGTCACTCGGCTCCTTAAATCTCCCTCCCCTTCCCCACATCTTGTAGAGTTACCAGAATGATTTTTTTTAAGTGAGAAAAAACTGATCCTGGTACTTCCTCCTTAAAAGTTTCAATTGATAATTCTTGACCTCCAGGAAAAAAAAAGTTTATTAAAGCCCTTCCTAGGCTTGGCTATAATATTTATACTCTGTCCAAAACGAAAAGGAAAATCAGCAGGGAGTGGTAGCTCAAGCCTGTAATCCCAAGGACTTGGGAAGTAGAGATCAGGGGATTATGGTTCAAGGCCAGCCCTGGTGCAAAAGTTCAAGAGACTCCACCTCAAACAGGGGCTGAATGTGGTGGTATGCTTCTGTGATCTCTAAGTGACTCGAGGAAGCACAAGTAGGAGAGTCTCAGCATAAGGAGCACAGAACAGGAGAGCCCCAGCATAACGAGAGACACTACCTTGAAAAGAACCGAGGCAAAAAGGGGCTTGACTCAAATGTTAGAATGCCTGCTTTGTAAGGGTGTCCCTAATTCAATCCCCAGGATTGTTAAGATGACAGAGAGAGAGAGAGAGAGAGAGAGAGAGAGGATGGATAAAGTCTGAGAATATAGTACATATGTTCATAGATAAAAATTTAAACATTCAGCTAGGCACTGGTGGCTCATGCCTGTAACCCTAGCTACTCAGGAGGTCCTTAGTTCAAGGCTAGCACAGGCAAAAAATGTTCTCTTAACTCCGATTCGCCTACAAAAAGCCAGAAGTAAAGGTGTGACTTAAGTGGTAGATTGCTATCCTTGAGCAAAAAAGCTTAGGGAAAGTGTCCAGGCCCTGAGTTCAAGTCCCAGGACTGGCACACAAAAAATTAAACATATGCTTCTCAAGGATCCTTGATGAGAGTCTAAAATTGATAGCAAATATAAAATAAATTAGCCTAAAGATAAAACAAATTAGCCTAAATTTATATGCAAACCATTCTAGCTACCTGCATATTGTCTTAATTTAGAACCTAAAATATATAACAACAAGAGTTTTAAAAGAATATCAAATTTATGAGACATGTTTGTGATGAAGTATTGAGGGTGTCTGGCTTACTTCGATGTGCACTGTAGACTTTCAACCAAGAATAATATGTTACATAATTTATTAATAATTTATCTATTTATAATCTATCAAGTGAAAGAGAAGTGGAATGACAGATTGCTATGGCTAGTAAAGTTGCTTTTTAAAAACATATTGCAGGGTGTGGATGGTAGGGAAAAACTGGGAGAGAAAGAGGGAAGAGCAGACATTATTTGAAAAGGAATGTACTCTTTACTTGACATAGAACCCCCATGTACATCACCTTGATCGTATCAATAAAAATGTTTAAAATGTATTGCGATTTGTTTTCTACACATAGGCTATTAACATTAGACTGTCCAGTGTCAAAGTTATACCTATTACACGTGTTTGGTGGCAATATGCCTTACAATGTGCTTTGGGGCAGCTCTTACAGTCCAAACTCTCAGTGAAATCTTGTAGGAAGCAAGAAGTCAGCCATAGTGAGGTATTAGTTCTTGCTATAAACCAGAGCATTCCCAGCTACAGTCAACAGTTCGGGAATTATAAGCACACTGATGTTAGTCATCCCTGCAGCATCTCTACCTGCAAACTACTGGGCCAAATCTTAGAAACCAGGCTCTGCTCCCCATAAGAAACAGATGAAGGATTGTTTTATAAGGGTGGTATTTGGGTAAGATAATGCAACCCTGTCTTCCCAGTTACGTGGGAAGGTAGAGGTTTTCGTCCAGGCCAGTCTAGACACAAGTTAGCAAGACCCCCCCCCCTCCACACCCCCACCTCAGTCAGCAAGCTTGAAGTGGGGGAGGGTATGTGCTTTTGATCTCAGTCATGTGGGAGGCCAGAGGGAGGAGGATCACACTTGATCCCCAGCCCTGGGGGACATTTTGAGATTTATCTGGAAAAAAAATAATGTATCATTTAACAAAAATGAAGTTGCTTTTAACCAAAGGTCAGAATTTTCTTCAACCCGATTAATCATGACTGAAAAGAGTATAACAGTGGATTGAAGTGATGAGAAAAGCACTTATATACAATGATAATAAAAATATGAATATTTTAAAAGAAATTTAACGTAGAAATAAAAATTCTTTTCCTCTGTATTTCCATTTAACCTGCAGAAAGATTATAAAAATGTCCCAGAGAAGTGTTAGCTAGGTTAGAAAAACTCAGAATGGGTAGATATACATTTCATCTTTTTGCCTGGAAGAATATCAGTTAGTAATATCAGTATAAGTGGAAAGTAAAAAATCTTAAAGAGGCAAAGGAAATGATCTGTAACAATTGATATGATTTACTCAGAAGAAGTTAAAACAGAAGATTACACACACATATATATATATACAGGGACTAGAAATAAATTCAACTGAATAGTAACTGAAACTAGGGTATTTATAATAGGAAAAAAATCCTAATACTGTGTGTTTCTATAATTTCTAAAATCTAATACAAGAAGAAAAATAATAACATTTAAACTGAAGATGAATATTTCAAATGTATTATACAATAAATTTTGATTTGGAAAAAACTTGTGTTACGGTAAATTTCACAAAAATCTTGCATATAACAGAAACTAGTATGTCAGTTATTACATTCTGTGGCACTGAGCTAAGGGATCTGTTATTGACTTCATAAAGAACATATTCATCTGTTTATATATAAAGCACTATTTTTACCTAAAGTCATGATTCATATCTTTGACTTAGCATCTTCTTATATTTTCATAATCTCCAAGAAAGAATTTAAATTGGTATCAACTTCAATGAAACGCTTATCATGCAGATCAGATAAGTATAAAAATAGAAAAAAAACATTTGAATGTTTCAAAACAGAGAAGAAATTTCTGCCTGAAATGTATATTTGAAATTAACCCAGGAAAAATGCAGATTGCAAGAAAAAAATAGACAAAAAAACAAGAGAATTAAGGAAAAGAAAAAACATATTATTGCTGTACTTACCTGTGTCGATGAGAGATAAAAGATGTGTATATGTTAGAAGAGTATTAAAAATACTCTTTCCTTTTGGTATAAAAGAAATTTTAATACTATTCAAATATGGTCTACTATTACTTGCTGCTTTTAATGACTTATATTTGAAGTACATATCTTTATTTTAAAATACTTAATGGACAAATAGAGATTGAATATAGTCAAGGTATCCAACATGGATGATTTTATACACACATACACATACACACCATTGTGAAATGATGACCACAATCTAATTAACATACCTACCACATCCATGAAGTTCATGAGATCCTGAGAACTTAATCATCCTATAACTGAAAATTTCCAACTATTCTTTGATGCCTAGATAATAAACAACAAGTATGTGATAGCTGGAGATTAACTTTTGTGACCAAGAAATAAAACAAGAAATAGCTGGGTGCTGGTAGCTCACACCAGTGATCTTAGCTACTCAGGAGACTAAGATCTAGGGATCTTGGTTCAAAGCCATCTGGGCAAGGAAGCCTGCAGGACTCTTCTCTCCAATTAATCACCAGAAAACCAGTAGGGAGCTGTGGCTCAGGGCTAGCCTTGAGCTGAAGAGCTTAGGGATAGCACTTGAGCCCGGAGTTCAAGTCCCAGGAGTGGTACACACACACACACACACACACACACACACACACGTGTACACACACACAAATATAGGGTATTCTTGATATGTCAAATCTACTTAGAGCAACACTGACACTGATATATCAGCACCACCTTTATTCTCAAGAGGCTGTATAGCACAGCAGGCTCACAGGTACTTGACTGACCTGTGCCTTGATCCATGGCTTACCTGAAATTTTTACTTGAGACACAACTCCATCTCCCCCGTCACTGTGTGCTCGAACCTCCACCACGTACTCTCCATCGCGGGGGATGGGCAACTCGATGGAGTGCTTGTGCGTGGAGTACAGCTTGCCGTCATGCTGCCCGTCAGGCCTGTAGAGGACCTTTGAAGGCCAAACACACACTTCACCAAGGCATGCTAAGGACTCAACACCCCAGTACTAAAAACCCTTCATGCTTTCAGTTTACGTTTTAACTGTGTGTGTGTGTGTGTATTTGTGTGTGTGTGTGTACTAAAGCTTGAACTCTGAGCCTGGGTGCTGTCCCTCAGCTCTTCAGCTTAAGGCTAGCACTCTGCCACTTGAGCCACAGCGCCACTTCCGGTGTTCATGTGGTTAATTGGAGAGAAGAGTCTCACAGACTTTCCTGCCTTGCTGGTCTTGAGCTGTGATCCTCAGATCTCAGCCTCCTGAGTAGCTAGAATTACAGACATGAGCCACTGGCATCCGGTATCATTTTTTTAAAATAAAAATACTTTTGCTAGGTGCTGGTAGCTCATGCCTGTAATCCTAGATACTCAGGAGGCTGAGATTTGAGGATTGCAGTTTGAAGTCAGTCTAGGCAAGAAAGTCCATGAAACTCTTATTTCTAATTAACCAGCCAAAAAAAACCCAAACAAACAAAAGCCAGAAGTGGAGCTGTGGCACAAGTGGTAGAGTACTTGCCTTGAGCAAAATAGGGAGGGTGTTGCTGAGGTTAAGACCCAGCACACTAAAAAGTAATAATAATTCTAGTCTCCTCTTTAAGGTATTCCTTCCCCGACCCCCACCCTCCACCCCAAACCAATACTATAGTTAGAACTTAGGACCTTGACCTTATCTTTCACTAGATTTTTTTTTCTGCTCATGGCTGGCACTCTACAATCTGAGCCAAACATCCAACCCATCATTTTGCTAGTTGATTGAAAATGGGCTCTTGTGAATGTTTTTGCCTAGGCTGGTCTGAAACTGATCTCTGCCTCCTGCGTTAGCTAGGATTACAGGTATGAGCTACCAGCACTCAAGTTAACAACACTATTCTTTCAAAACAGTTATTCTGCTTATCTTACTCCTTTGACATAGCTTTCTCCTAAAATTCACTTAAGCCGATCTTCCCATTTCAAAATTTATCATGAAATTAGGCCATCTGATTCTGCGTACCCAGGCAGAATGAAAGAGCTGAGTGAGCTTCACTGACATGGCAGGGATGGGCACAGGGATGATTAGCTGTAAGAATTCAGCTTTGTGAGGAGGAGAGGCGAATTGTCATTTACTTACCTTGTATCCTGTCACAGTAGACTCATTGGACAGTGCAACCACGTGGTCCCAGGTGATGATGTAACGTGAACCAGACCTTATGGAACTTATGATCCTTGGTGGCTGGCTGGGAGCTGTGGGAAGCAAGGCATGCAAGCAGTGGTCACCAATTCCAACCTTAGTTCTGCAGAATTCACTGCATCAGGAACTGCAATGCTGGTGATAACCATGCTGCCAGCAATTGGCCTTTGAAGAGTGTGCTGAGTGGGTACATGCAAGACTTTACTACACTGGAGGAAGTGGGGGAATGGACCATCTTTCTTTCTCTCCCCATCATGCTTTCTCCTCTTGTGTGTGTGTGTGTGTGTGTGTGTGTGTGTGTGTGTGTGTGTGTGCCGGTCCTAGCGCTTGAACTCAGAGCCTGGGTGCTGTTCTTAAGCTTTTGTGTTCCAGGCTAGCACTCTCCTACTTGAGCCACAGCTCTGCTTATGGCTTTTGGATGGTTAAGTGGAGATAAAAGTCTGGAAGACGTTCCTGCCCTGGAAGGTATGGAATTGCAATCCTCATATCTTCCTTAGTAGTTAGGATTACAGGCATGAGCCACTGGTGCCCAGCACCAAATCTAGTCCTTTTTTTTTAATATATAAAAACTACTATTTTTCACCTCCACTGAGCCAAATCTGTTTAGTTCTCACTGTTTTCAAACTTAAATCTGTGAAACATAGCACAGATTTGACCTTCTTTTAAGTTTATAATTATTCTATGGATTTTTCTTCTGTCTCCCCTGCTGTTCCTTCTCATTCATCCTCCTGAGCCGGCTTTATATTTTTCTACTCAACCTGGATAGTTTATCCTGAACATTCTTCTCAGATGCTCTGTCAAACTTCCGTAGGGACTTAAATCATAGCTTTAAATCGCACAATTGTAGCTGTACCTCAATCTCTTTCTTGTCTTTTATTTTATTTATTTGTTGGTCATGGGTTTGAATTCAGGGCCTGGGCACTGTACCTGAGCTCTACCACTTTGAACCACAGGGCCACTTCTGATTTTCTGGTGTTTCATTGGAGTTAAGAATCTCATGGACTTTTCCTTCCAGGTCTGGCTTCGAACTGTGATCCTCAGATCTCAGCCTCCTGAGAAGTTGGGATTATAGGTGTGAGTCACCAGTGCCCTTATTTTTTGTCCTTTATACAGAGGTGCCCAACTGTCTATTTCTACTTGAATGAAAGACTTCTCAGATACAGTACAATCAAGATGGAATACTGGTCATGTCCCTGTTAATCTGCCTCTTGGGAGTCTTTCCCACTCTGTGCAGACAGTATACCTTGACTCCCAGCATGTGAAGGCAAGAGCTGGTGCTCAGTCTTCTATTTTCTCATGTCCAACACTCATGTCCAAATAAGTGGGAAGTTTTCAACTGTACCTGCAGAAAAATTCCCACTTCTGTCTTCATTCCCACTTCTGGAGAGCCATTAGCAATTCCCTGCTCAAATACTAGATCATTTATTGGTTAGCTTTCCTGCTTTCTCTGCTTGACCTCAGGGCCAGGGCATTCTCCCTTAATTTTCTAACTCAAGCCTAGTGCTCTATCACTTGAGCCATATTTCACTTTCAGCTTTTTGTTAGTTAATTAGAGATAAGAGTTTCTTGAACTTTTCTGCCTGGGATAGCTTCCTGAGTAGCTAGGACTACAAGCATGAGCCACTGTAAGCACTTTAACTCATTTTTGATTAATGGATACATGTGAAGGATAATTAAGTTAGAGGTAAGCTCATTTTGTGTGTTTGTGTGCTGCTGAGGACTGAAGTCAGGTCCTTGAATTCACAAGGTAAGCATTCTTCCATTGAGCTAAATCCCCAACCCCATAATTTTTCTATTATCATTAAGGAAGTCAGAGTAGATCTCAAACTCATATTTGATACCAAAAATCTTCCCACTGCTTTCTGTGACCTCATTAAGAGATTCTGTCTCCAAGGACATTTTATAAATTTTATAACCCTAGTGGTAATCATGATTGAGGATTTCTAGGAAAAGTTTCTGAGTCCTGCATAAAAATTCTCCTTTTAAGTATATTTCATTGGCTGCTAGATGCCTGTAATCCTAGCTACACAGAAGGCTGAGATCTAAGGATCACAGTTCCAAGCTAGCCTGGGCAGGAAAGTCTGTGAGACTCTTATTTCCTATTAACCACCAAAAAGTCAGAAGTCTTGCTGTGGCTCAAGTGGTAGAGGACCAGTCTTGAGAAAAAAGGTCAGAGACATTGCCCAGGCTCTGAGTTCAAGTCCCAGGACCAGCACAAACACACACACACACACACACACACACACACACACACACACACACACATTTCTTCAAGAAGTAACCTATTAAGTTTAAGCTTAACACATTAGGATGGGCACAAGATCAGATGGTCTTGTCATATAAAGGTTGAGACAGTATAGTAGTAAGATGACAAGCATAATACTATAATAGCTAACTTGCACTGACACTGTGCAATGACGAAGATGTCTAAATCAAGCATGGAAAAATGAGCAGCTATTATCTTTCATAGGCTGTCCATGAATTCCTCTCCCCACAAGAATTCAAAACTATTAAAACAAATAATTATAGAAGGCAGCCAAGTTAAGTGTGATACACAGCTTGAAGTGAGAACTTTCTAAGTGATAATTCTGTTAATTCTAATTGATAATTCTGTTAATTCTAAGTGATAATTTTATTGCTATAATGGACCTGTATACATTAAATGGCTAAGGCATTCTTCACATTATTTTAGTATCTATAATAGATAACAATGATTAAAAAAAAAAGAAATCTTGTGTAGCCAGGCACTTGTGGTTCATATCTATGACTTAGCAACTACTCTGGAGGCAGAGATCTGAGAATCAAAGTTTGGAGCTGGCCTGAGCAGATAAATCCATGAGACTCCTAATTCGGGAAGTGGATCAATTGGTAGAATGCATGCCAGCCTGAAGCAAAAACACTGTGAGAGCACAAGGCCCTGAGTTCAAGTCTCAGTATGAAAAAAAAAATCTTGTGTAAGTATAAAAGAGATCACTAACACCAGATGTGGTTAGATAGCTAGGCAGGAAATGGCTGTGCTGGGTGGGTCTGCATCATGATTGACAGATCTGCAGTCAAATGACACTCACGTGCTTTCTTGGTGAAGGTCTCAATCACATCACTTGAAGGTCCACACCCAGCACTGTTGCAGGCTCCGACTTCCACAAAGTACTGAGTGTCGGGCAGGAGGTTCTCCAGCCTGGCTGAATACTCCTGGCTGGGGACTTGAACCCGGTGTGCTGCTGCTTCCTTGTCATGGGCTGCCCAATAGCGAATCTGTGAACATCCAAGATGAGTAACATTTTTGTCATGATTTAGACTTGTGGGTTGTAAAAAGTTGTTTTCCATTGGCTGTCAGTTGGTGTTGAGTATCAAAAATTCTTAACTATTACATTATTATATTTACCCTTTTTTGGGGGGGGTCTGGTCATGGGGCCTGAACTCTGGGCCTGGGTGCTGTCCCTCAGCTCTTCAGCTCAAGGCTAGTGCCTTACCAATTGAGCCACAGCGCCACTTCTGGCTTTTTCTGCTTATATGGTGTTGAGGAATCGAACCCAGGGCCTCAGGCTTGCAAGGCAAGTGCTCTACCACTGAGCCACCTTCCCAGCCCCTATATTACCCTTTTATCAGTCTTAGAATAAGGCAATCTAATTTACAAGACCAAATGCCAATCAAAAGGCATTGCCGGAAATAGTTTTGCACTGATCAGAAAGTGCAAGTGAGCTAAAAGGAGGAGAAGAAGAGAGCAAGGGATAGTGGGGAAGAGGGAGAGGGAGAGGAGATGGAGAGATGCAGGGGGAGAGGAGAGGGAGAATGGAGGTGGAGGGAGTGAGAGAACCGCCTTAAAACTCTTCATTAAATATATCTTCAAAATATAAAACTGACTGTTTAGAAATACTTCTGCTAGAAAAGGTCAGATAAGTTGATGTTAGGGAAATGAACCCTAAGACATGTATTCAAATGTTTTTTTTTTCTTTCATGCGATTGTGTCTAACACATTTATAAGATTATTTCTCTGTTGCTTTGTATGTCCCTCCCCCATGGTATAACCCCTGCTTTCACTGTATTTGATGTTGGTATAATTTGTGGAGGGGAAGGGGAAAAACAAATCGTTTAAATAGGGATACAGGTGGACCCATTGCAACAATGAGATGTACAAGTTATGTCGAAAACGAACTCCACAACTTTGGTGGATGGGAAGGGATGGGAAGGGGAAACAAAGGAGGAGGCTACAATGCTTGATAAGAAATGTACTCATTATTTGCCCATGTAATTGTAACCCTTCTGTACAGTATTTTCACAATAAAGAAAAAAAAAGAAATACTTCTGCTAATGATTTTGATCCTGTGTGTGTACTTGTGCATGTGTGTGTACTCGCATGCATACCAGTCCTGGGGCTTGAACTCAGGGACCCTTGAACTTTTTTTGCTCGAGGCTAGTGTTCTACCACTTGAGCCACAGCTTCACCTCCAACTATTTCGGTGGTTAATTGGAGTTAAGGGTCTCGTGGACTTTCTTGTCCAGGCTGGATTCAGAACTTGATCCTCAGATGTCAGTCTCCCGAGTAGCTGGGATTACAGGCATAAGCCACTAGTACCCTGCTCATAATTTTGATCATTTATTATTTGCTGTTTTATTTCTATTGGCATGATTTCAAACTTGTTATGGACTATTTATAAGAGTTTGATGGAAATATACCTTGATTATCAAAAATTCATTATAATGCCTAGAATGTACTAGCAAAATAATTTCTTCTAGTTCCTTTCAGCAATACGGCGTGGGGTTATTTCCTTCATTCCCTATAGAAGGAAGAGCAAATAAAGGTGCCAAAATAATTTGATAGCTGTTAAGATCATTTAAAACACATTTAGGAATCTGGGCACAAATGACTCTCACCTATAATCCCAGCTGCTCATGAGGCTGAGTTCTGAAAATAGAGAGTTGAGGCTAGTCTTGGCGGACAATTCAAAAGACTCTTACCTCCAATTAATCAGAAAAAATCCAGAAGTGGAGTTGTAGCTCACATGCAAGAGTGCCAGCCTTGAGCAAGAAAGCTAAACAAGGGTACAAGGCCTTGAGTTCAAGCCCCAATTCTGGTACATCCACAGGACAAAATATTTAGAGAGCATTTCTTTTGTAAAATTAATTCAATCTTCTTGTCTCCTAAAGTGTAACTTAAGTTTTTCAAATAAAGACTGCTCAAGGGTCAGAAATCTGTAATTAGATCTAGCACATGAATTAAAAGAAATTTAAGTGTATTAATATTTTACACATTTTTAAATGTACTATATAAAATAACAGGTTTTAAAATTTTACAAATAGTCAAAATGCCTGGATCAAAACACCTAATCCTACTATAATTCTAGACTTTTCATTTATAGGGGCACATACAAAGCCATTGTAAAATGGAATTGGATGACCTGACTGCACTGGATGAAAGAAAGATTTATATGTAGGTTGAATATATTTATGCATAAAAGCTAGTTCTTAGTGGCTTCATTTGTTTAGAGATACTGATTTTGTCAACAGCAAGACTCTGTTTTCTAAAGGCGTTAAGAGGATCTCATTGGCTTCTGACTTGACAAATGAGGGTAGAGGACGTAGAAATCTATCCAGTGGCCCCAGACCAACCTATGGGCCGAGAACACTGCCTAAGAAGGGACCAGAGCCTCCTTGTAAAGGCCAGAATAGCTCCATGCTGGAAATAGTCACAGATGCCGGAGGGAGATGGCCTTTCTCCATGTGGGTATTTGAATGACGTAACATTTAATGCCTGTTCCTTGCTAACACAAACATTTATGTTCCAGAGAAATGCCAGGCACTTCCTTAGTATGCTCACAACAACTCTACGATGGTAGAAGTTCTCCAGTCTTACATCAATTAAAACCAGGATTCTGTATTTCTATCTTTCTCATATTGTTATGCTAGGGGTACAACCCAGGACCTTGGACAAGCTAGGCAAGCACTCTTCCACTGAGCAATCCCATGAACTCATTTGTGTTGCATTTATTTTCTTTTTGAGCTACCTCTGCCTTGGCTGGCATTGAACTTGCAACCCTCCTGTCTGTTCCAGGGAGGATTACAGGCAGATGCTACCATACAACAGGTTCCTGAATTTTACTCAGAGTATTGGATGGGATATATACCACATTAAAATATGGTTCCATTATAGTAGTGGGAGTTTATAGTCAAAATAGATTATTATATCAAAGGCAATTTCCATAAGATGGTATGTACTAAAATGAGTAGCAATAAGAGACATTTCCTGCCACCTTAACTCAAACTCCTATGGTGAGATTGACAAAACAAAGGGGAAGAACAAAGCTTTCCTTAACTTTGTTCTTTGGTATTCTATCCTAAATGGCCAGTTCCCTTATTTATCTGAGTCTGGCAAGGATCTCTATATTCACAGAATCCATTAAAATTCACAATCAGAGCCAGGCACTGGTGGCTCATGCCTATGATCCTGGCTACTCAGGAGGATGAGTTTCACAACCTGTGAAGTGAGGATCAAAGTTTGAAGCTAGCTCAGGCAGGAAAGTCCATGAGACTTTTATCTCTAACCACTAAAACACCAGAAATGGAGCTGTGGCTCAAGTAGTAGAGCACTAACCTTGAGAGAAAAAGCTAAGGGACAGAATCAAGGCTTGAGTTCAAGCCCCGGAATTAGCGCACACACACACACACACACACAAATTACAATCAACCAAAGCAGTAATTTGGTCACTCGATTATAATGGGAGCAGAAAGTTTCTGGTGTACAAAACAATTTCTGATTTCCTTATTTGCATCAGTGAGAGTTGCCTGATATTTTCACATGCACCTAACCTTTGCACTCGAAAGTGTCTAATACAGAACCATCTGATAGTGTGATCCTTAAGCATATGTTTATACATGACTTGTATCTCAAAGAGTCCTAAAGGAAATAGTACTGGATGGGCATATGTAAAATGTAGCATTATCCGTTTTTTGTCTGAACTAGTTGCAGACTGAGCTGAGAGGTCATTTGCACCGATAGATGATAGGGTAGAACTGTGATATCTTGATCTTCCTGCTGAGTTTGTCACTGTGGGAAGCACCTACGTTATTCTGTGAGAAAATTATTGGAAGAAAGTCAGAATCAATGTAATATACTTGATAAGTTACCCAGGTGGCCCAAAGATGAGCCATGAATCTTTGGGAATGGGTTATCACTATTAGAAAAGTAAATAAAAACAAAGCAAGTCCCTGCTTCATTAGTAGACTATTCATTTTCATGTTCTACATTTATTCCTATATTTATTCTATATTTATTCCTCAGAGGATCTCCAAAGGCTCCTGTGTCCAGTGTGAGCTCCTGATTGTGCTTAGTTATTCAACACTTGTGGAATTATCTCACGACATCTCCCAGCATTCTCACTAATTGGAGATAAGTGTTTCAGGGGCTTCCCTACTGGATTAGCTTTGAACCATGAACTTTATATCTCAGCCTCCTGAGTAGCTAGGATTACAGTTGTGAGCCATTGATGCCTGTCTTCTAACTTCTTTTTTTTTAATGAAATATAACATTTGTACACATTTATAGGAGCACATTCTGCTAACACAAAGCATATATGTGATGTGTAGTAGTCAAGTCAGGATAGTATCTGTCTTGCTTTTAACAATTAGCTTATAAATCCCCCAAATCAGTTATTCCCCCAAATTAGTTATTCCATCAACCAGTGGGAACACAGGACATTAAATGATGCAATTCCTTTGAGAACTTAGAAAACATGTGCTTTTATATTTATAAATAAATGTACTTAGATAAAACATTGAGCTCACCTGGTAGCTTTCTACTATTTTTTCTAAAACATGCTTCCAGTGAACTGAAATCTCAGAAGAGGATAAGACTTTGACACCGACTTCCGTAGGGGCTTCACTGGGAGCTGAAATTAGATGAAAATACATTATGTTGGGTGTTAATATGAGGAAATTTGAATAATACTTCAATGTGTAATAATGATGACTGTAAGTCAACATTTGGAAAATAAACTAAATTCTATAATTTTAGTATATTTTCCTTTATTGTTAATGATACTTTTAGTTCATGGTCATTGGTGACACATGAACACATATGTTCATATACACAAATATTTGCAGAAAAGGTGAGATAAGATGATGTTTAGCGAAATGAACCCCAAGATAGGGACACAAGTGTTTTTTTCTTCATTGCTATTGTTTCTAACGTATTTATAAGGTACCATGTGATTTTTGTTGTTTTGTATGGTATAACCCCTGTTTTTACTGTATTTAATGTTGGTATAATTTGGGGAGGGGAAGGGAAAAAACAACTTGTTTAAATAGGAATACAGATTGACCTATTGCAACAATGAGATGTATAAGATGCTATGTGGAAAAACGAACTTTACAATTTAGACAGGGGGTTGGGAGGAGGGTGTGTAGCTGAGGAGGCAGGAGGGAAGGGATGGGAGGAAAAACAAAAGAGGAGGCAACAATACTGGATAAGAAATGTACTCATTACCTTGCTCATGTAACTGTAACCCCTCTGTACAGTATGTTCACAATAAAACACTTAATTAAAAAGACAAAAAACTCCACAAATATTTATGTAGACATTCATGCGTACCTACAGACTTTTACAAATTATGATATTCTTTGGGGAGTTCATTGAAATCTATGAGCAAGAGTCTTAGTATTCTCTTATGTCTCAAACCTGCAATGTTTAAGAAAACCTTTTGATACAAATTAAAATTAATTACACTTAGTGTATCAATTTCATCTTGCCAAAAATATGAAACCTGGTATTTATTATAGAAATTATTCATTGTAATGAATTTCTCTTACTTGAGATTTAAAAGAACTCACAACACCTGGTCATATTGTTAATGAAATTTCCTTCTTTTATATTCAAGCTAAAGATTTTAAAAAAGTTGAAACAAGTTGTAACATCCACTATTTCTTGGGCTCAGGAAAGCTTTGATATGTCTAATCTCCCTACTGGGCATCAAGTCAAATATGTATCATGAAAAGCCTCTGTTCGGGGGTAAAATTAATTTACATCCCTTCTGAAATATACACAAAGAATCCAAGGAAGCCTTTAAGTAGGAGTGATCAATTTTTATTGTCCTTCATTAATAAGTCATAATCTGATTTAATGTTAAAAATGTAGGACACATGAACACTGTTGCCTTTCTAAATCAAAGCAATCATGTAGCACTAGGATTGATTTCATACTGGTAGAAGGGAAAGATTAACAACTTACACAAGTTTCAGCATATGGGAGTTTTATGAAAGCCTTCGAAATATTTCAGACAGAAATATAATGAAAAACAAATGGCCAAGAGTTAAAAAGATGTACAAGCAGGGTCTTCTGCCCCAAAGCTGACTTTAAAGCAGAAAAGAATTGATATTGGATGCAAAGGGAACTTGTAATCTACTTTTTTTTGTTAAAAATATATATATTTATTTCCGTTTTTAGATGCTTCAGATGTTACAGGCCATCATGATTTAAATATGAGGGAAAAACATTTTAGAAAGGATAAGAACCTTTTGTTTAAAGAATGAAATATAAATTGTTAATTCACTTTTAAGAAACAAAATTCACAATAACCTATTAAAAATCATTTTCCCCCTTAACTTAATGGAGATTCTCTCTAGTGAAGCTTTTTTTTGGGGGTCCAGTCATGGGGTCTGAACTCTGGGCCTGGGTGCTGTCCCCCAGCTCTTCAGCTCAAGGCTAGCGCTCTACCACATGAGCCACAGTGCCACTTCTGGCTTTTTTCTTTCTGCTTATGTGGTGCTGAGGAATCGAACCCAGGGCCTCAGGCATGCAAGGCAAGCACTTTTACCACTGAGCCACCTTTCCAGCCCTCTAGTGAAGCTTTTTGTAAGAAGCTAAAATTTTTCATTTTCTTGAGACTGATTTGATGAAAGGGCATGTGGTGTCCCCAAAAATGTCTGATGAACATTAAAATGACTAAACTGATGAGACACATTTAATTCATTATGATAAACCCAAGAATGGCTATATAAATCTTGTTCTGAATTGCTGTCCTCTCCTTCACAGCATACTATATGAATAGGAGCTCTCTCTTCACAATCAATTTGTTAAGTCTTATCTTCTAATAAACTTTTTTGCACGTCTAGAGACGATTGCAATTCAATTTGAATATTCTTTTTTTGACCTGTTCCACTTGATCCTTTGGTCTCTTTCGCCAATATTTCCGAATGAAAACTGCTGAATACTTCTATATGTGAGATTTCATCCCTTAAATCCAGAGACATATCCTCTTCGTCCTTTTCATCGTTTTCTAAAAGAGCTGACTGGGATTCAAGATTCTCAGTAGCACTAAGCGTTGTAATCTACTTTTAACTTTCATTTCCTCTGTGATACGTAGTCAGGTTTTAAAAAATTGTTAAAATTGAGTCAAGGTAGCTCATTCCAGCTGAGTAAGTGTGCGCACGTGGGCTATCTGTCCTGCCATTGGGAGGGCTCCATTCCTTGATTATGAACTTAAAAGATGTCTACTTTTTATTCTTTCAGGGTATTTAGGAAAGCTAAGTGACTCCTGCAACTACCTTTAATGTATTTACTTCCAGGTAAATTTCATTATGTACATTCAAGGTATCATGAGATACATAAAAAGTCAGGCTGGCATGGAAACTACAGGTCAGGAGATTATCTGAACACGTGATACATTTTTGACAAAAACAAAAATTGCTAAGTTTATGATAAAGAACATATTTGAGAGTTTCAGAGTTCTAACTTCTAAAGTTTCTAGAGTGCATTTTATTTTGGAAAGATAACACAAATGAGGTAAAGTAATAGTACATATTTCTTTCAAGAGAACAGAAAAGTACCTCTTGAAGTCTCATTTTATTTTAAACGAGTTTTACGCATACAATGTATTTTAATCATATTCCTGGCTTCTAATCTTTCTTCTTTGATCCTCCCATTGGTCTTCCATCCCACCTGAAAAGCCCTTATGATTCATGCCCAGTTCTTCTTTAGATTCTCTACCCCCTTCCTTCTTTTCCCTCCTCCTTCTGTCTTACCCTCCTTCCACCCCTCTCCTCCTTTCCTTTCTCCCGCTCTGCCTTTCCCACTTTCCTTCCTTTTCCTTCAGTATTAGGAAGTAAGTATTGTTTTTCTTCCTTAAATGGCCAACAAGACAAACTTTTCCTTTTCAAAGAATAATTTTCAATGGATTAATCTTCTTTTCATATAATTATCTAGATTCCCTTGAATACAATTCTGGTTCTTTGTTGTAATAATGAAAATGCTTACAATTACACCAGTATAATGAATTTTGAGTCGAAATTTTGGGCAACTTTATAAAAATATATATGTTCTAAAATTTTTAAGTAGACTTTGTGAGTATACCAGCACAATGAAGTTCAATCAAGTGTGGAGAATTTCAGATAATAAAAATTTAATACAGAGGCCAGGAATAATAGCTCAAAGTTAATTATTTTTATAAAGTTTTCCTAATGACCATGGACACAATCTAAAGAACCAAAAAGATGTTTTTAGGAACATTTTTTGTCATTTCCATAGAGAAGTTAACATCTTTTATTAGCATACATTTTGTTTTGTTATCATGAAGCTGGGATTGAACTCAGGGTCTTTCACAGACTAGGTAAGTGCTCAACCACTGAGCTACATGCTCTGTCTTAGCATACATTAATTGCACAAGGGAAGGGGCTTCACTGTGATACTTCCATATATGTATACAACATATTCCAATCTTTCCTTCTATCATTCCTCCTTACCCAGCTCCCTGCTTCTTTATAAAATTTCAAGAGGTTTTCTTGTTCTCTTTTCATACTTAGAGGTTGAGATTTTAATTGGGCTCAGAGTAATACTCATTTTCTAAACACATAGTAATACCAAAAGGTTTTAGGCCAGATGCTGGTGGCATTCTCCAGTAATCTGGTTACTCAGGAGGCTGAGATCTGAGGATCCAGTTCAAAACAGAAATATCCATGAAACTCCAATTAACCAGCAAAAAAGTCAAATGAGAGTGCAAGGCCTTGAGTTTAAGCCCAGTACCAGCACACAAAACAAATAAATAAAGGTAATAGGGTGTTTTTAAAAAAATAAAAAAGAACTGGAAGAAAGCAAACACTTACGGGTGAATAAGGTTTTTCTTCTTTCCCCATGGAATTTGTGTTACTTACCATCCTGTGCTGAGTTAATGACAGCTATGAGGCTGTACGGCCCATCTCCTTTGTTGTTGAAGGCTTTAACTTTTACTTGAAAGGCAGTAGAAGGGCTCATGGATTCATCCTTATGGACGTATCTGCCAGTGTCTGGATTAGTAACTGTCACTTTTTTCCATTCTTCTCCATCAAATGGCTTAAATGCCACGATGTAACCAAAATTGTTGCCATAATGGTATTCTCTTGACAAGGGCTACATGAGAAAGAAGATATGAAATAGGTTCTGTAGGTTGTGGTCCATAAGAGGATTCCCAGGAGAAGAAAGATGAACCTGGAAGTCTTTATTTACCCTGACTAACAATGCAGGACATAGGCATGCTCAAAACCATAATAACCTCATTTTTTTAAGCTGCATTCTTAGCATTCCTTCAGCATTGGGGGGGGGCGGTCTCCCATCTTGGGCCTTTCTACTGTTAGCTCCTTCTGTCTGGGTTTCTCAAACTCTTACAAGGCCCCCTACCAGATGTTTTCTCTCTCCACAGGAGTAAGTTTGGCAGGTGTGAGCCACTAGTGCCTTGCTTAAAAAAAAAAGTCTTTTTTAATTTAATTAAAAAAATATCCTTAAGTAGTCGTACAAAGGAGTTTGAATTCAACAGGTCAATCTATGAGTATAATGGATTAATGAATGGGTTTTGGTATAAAGTGTGTAAATGAATCTTGGCTTGGAGTTTCATAATGTTCAGGGAAAATACTATATATTATTACTTGGCTGCCAGAAGACCACACAATTAAAAATATGTCTGGCATGGATGCTTGAATGTTTAATCTTTAGGGCTCATGAAGCCATGAGCATCTGGTATTCTTTGACTTTCAGGAAATCTCTACTAAGCTAAAGGAAACTTTATATTAATATACTTAAAGAAAACTAGTTATTTATTCCAGTTTGTAGGTTGATCATTTTATTTTCAATTAATTTCAAAAAAAACAAAATGGGCCTCAGGTGGAGTACAGATAAAGCGTCAATAGATCATAAGTGCTTAGAACCTACCGCCCAGGTAATGGTCAGTTCTCTGTTGCTTCCACCCCCACCGCCTACATCAGATGGAGCCACATTGGGTGCTGAAAGAAACACACAAAGAAATACATAGAAGAACAACCAAAAACGAAGACCATGTGGTTTGTTTTTCTGGTGAGAGTTCTTGTTTACCGCAGAAACCAGGAAGTTTTCTTTCACAAGGAAAAACAAGCCGTACATAATATATCTCATCAATTATAATAACAGTGGCTCATAGAGGCTGTAATGATGCTTTTTTTTCCCCTGCCAAGATAAAAACTGATTCATTGCCACAGGAAATATGCCAGTACCTCTCAGCAGAGAATCATGCAACAAATTAGTTTCCACCATCTCTCTCCCTTCTCTATCTCTCTCTCTCTTCCTTTCTCCCACTTTCTCTTTGCTGTTGGTGTCCCTACATTTAATATGACCATAAAAGATTACTTGATACACACTCCCAAACTATTTTTCAGTGCAAATATTTTACAGTTCTTTTTTATTTTATTTTTGGTGCCAGTACTGGGGCTTGAATTCAGGGCCTAGCTGTTGTCCCTTAGCTTCTTTTTTTTTTTTCCTTTGTTGTTCTACCACTGAAGCCACACCTGCACTCTCAGCTTTTTGTTGGTTAATTGGGGATGAGAATCCTATGGATTTTCTGCCTGGGCTGGCTTTGAACTATAGTTCTGAATAGCTGAGATTACAGGCATGAGCTCTTACTCTTGAACTCTATATACTTCTAGCAACTTAGAATTGTGTAACTTTTATGTTTCCTGTTCTAATAAGTGTTAAAAGACATTCTGTATTTACATTAACATGGAATAATGTTTCCTCAAAGTATCCATAAATAGGAGGAATCTAATATTGTCTCTTATATGCTCTCACTTCCAGTTCCTAAGTCTTTCTGGAACCTTCGCTCCATCAGTGACTCCAACCCCCTACCCCCATCCCATGACATCACCTCGGGTTTCTCTGCTGAAAGACTCCACAGGCTGTACTTTCTATGTGAGAAGAACTTTCCTGTCCTGTTGCTTCCTCTTAATCCCCAAGTCTGCATCACACTCAGTCATGAAGTGTATGAAAAGCCTGATATATGGGGTTTTATTTGTACTTGACTTCATAATTACTTTTCAACAACCTAACATGCATTTCTACTTATTTGTGTTCCTGAAAACTCTCCTTTGGGGGAAAAATCACATCCCAATGGGCTTCTTTATGTTGTTTTTTGTTCTTTTTCTTTCTTTCTTTCATTTGTTCTTCCTTCTCTCTTAGAAACTCTTTCAGGTTAGGCACTAGATCTTGTTGAGTGTGTAGAATGAGCCATTAATGGGATGGGTGCAGATGCAAAAGTACCTCTTTTGTATTCTCTGAAGGACAATGTAGGGGAAAGTTCAGGTATTCAATGAGGAAGACATACTTTTTTATTTTATTGCTAGTCCTTGGCTTGAACTCAGGGCCTGGGCACCATCCCCGAGGTTTTCTGCTCAAGGCTAGCCTCTTATCACTTGAGTCACAGCTCCACTTCTGGCTTTCGATGATTAATTAGAGATAAGATTCTCATAGACTTTCCTGCCCAAGCTGGCATTGAACTGTGATCCTCATATTTCAGTCTCCCAAGTAGCTAGATTTACATGCAGGAGCTACCAGTAACCCAGCAAGACATACATTTTTCTCACACAAAGATATTGTCTCTAGGTGAGAGATCATTTCCAAATCTAGCACTTTGAAGTGATGGAATGTCATTTTCTTTAGGAGTCCCTAAGTCCTGTCTCAACAGGACCTGGCTACCCCATTTTCAGAGTGTTCACTGAATTTTGATTCAAAGAGACATACTTCAAATTTCTATATGCCAGCCATTAAGGTTGTGTGTGTGTGTGTGTGTGTGTGTGTGTGTGTGTGTGTATGTTGAAATATACATACATTGTACAAAAACAAAGATGTGGTTTTCCTTATATCTAAAAATGAAATGATTTCATGATTAAATATAAGGGGTGTGTATGTGTGTGTCCCAGTACTTGGATTTTGAACTCAGGGCCTGGGCACTGTCCCTTAGCTTTTTTACTCAAGGCTAGTGCTTTACCATGTGAGCCACAGCTTTTTCTAGTGCTTTACCATGTGAGCTACAGCTTTTTCTTCATGGATATAAAATTTTCATAGACTTTTCTCCCCAGGCTGGCTTTAAACCTCAATCCTCAGATCTCATCCTTTTAGCTAGGATTATAAACATGAGCCACCAGTGCCTGCTAAAATTTGAAAGATTTTTTTTTTTTTTTTTTTGTCGGCCATGGGGCTTGAACTCTGGGCCTGGGCGCTGTCACTCAGCTCTTCAGCTCAAGGCGAGCGCTCTACCACTTGAGCTACAGCGCCACTTCCGGTTTTCTGGTGGTTTATTGGAGATAGGAGTCTCACGGTCTCTCCTGCCCAGGCTGGCTTTGAACCGCGATCCTCAGATCTCAGCCTCCTGAGTAGCTAGGATTACAGGCGTGAGCCACCAGCGCCCGGCAAGATTTTAATTTTTTATTCAACTATTACCACATGAGTTTTAGCAGGTAAAATGGGTTACATAGGAACATTGAAAGATAAAGTATTGGTAGCTCTTACATTAAAATACACATTGAAGGCTGCTATATTAAAATAATTCTGCAAACTTCTAACTCCATGATTCATAGTTTGAAGTAAAAACTCTACATGCTATAGAAAAACAAAAAGTGCATTGTCCTACTATAATGAATAAATCAAATATAATTTGTTCAACTTGAGATGGAAGTTAAGTGGTCATAGGCAAAAAATGTTAAAAAAAACTGAAATAATTTATTATACTACAATTTGTTGCATCAAATTTTGCATTCCTAGGAACAAACATATTTGCCAAAGCATTCTTCTGTAATGCTTTTCCTTAAGACCAATTTTCTTCTTTTTATTTAGAACAGAACTAAAAAGGAATCATGTTTATATTCCATTGGCCACATTTCCATTTTATAAAGTTTGTTATATTCTTTGTTTTTTCTCTGCTAGTACTAGGTCTTGAACTCAAGGCCTTGCACTTTCAGTTAGCTTTATCCATTCAAAGCTGGAGCTCTACCATTTGACCCATACCTCTACTTCCAGCTTCTTGCTCCTGATTTAGAGATAAAGAGTCTCAGGAACTTTCTGGCCTGGGCTGGTTTTTAACCTCTATCTTCACATCTCAACCTCCTGAACAGCTAGAATTACATGCATGAGCCACTAGCACCTGGATTTACAAATTTTTCTTAGCATGCGACAAGTTAAGTGATTCAAGATTGATTCAAAAATTACCATTACACCTATGCTGTTGAATACAATCAACAAAAGCACAGAGATAAAGTTATAGCTTAGGAGTGTTTGGACAGTATGCTTACATTAATTATTGACTTAATTTCTCCCACTTAGGTTTGCATGCTTATTTTCAGCCGAAGCTGGTTGGTGGAATATTTGTACATGGAGTTATGCATCAACACATATCCATCCTGAACCTTGGAGTATTAGTTGCTGCTCTTTTTGTTCCAGTCCCACTAAAACCAGAGGATCCGGCCACATAGTGATTAGCTAAAGGAAAGTAAATCACCCTACGCACAAGGACATTTATTTAATTTCAGGCTCCAGGCCATTCTTTAAACAATAAATCATTAATACAAGTTTAAGCTAATATTTAGAAAAATACTAAGATTTGGGTATGAAAGGTGGATAACAGTGAGATGTTTTAACTTGTCATTTCGCAATAATTTAAATGGAATAGAGACTATCCTGGGTTGTTTATAAACATGTCTTAGCATTTCAGGTATAGCCCTCCCCCCTCCAAAAAAAATAACAAGTCAGAGCTAGGCACTGAGCAGGGTGCTGGTGGCTCATGCTTATAACCCTAGCTACTCAGGAAGCTGAGCTCTGAGGATTGGGGCTCACAGATAGCGTGGACAGTAAAGTCTGTGATACTCTTATCGCCAATTAACCACCAAAAAAGCCAGAAGTGGCTCAAATGGTAAAGCACTAGTCTTGATCAAAAAAGCTCAGGGACAATGATGAGGCCCTGAGTTCAAGAATCAGAATTGGCACCAAAAACAACAAAAACAAAAATCAAATCAGTTCTATGACTATTTTTCTCCTGTGAAAAAAACTGGGGCTGGGAAGGTGGCTCAGAGGTAGAGCGCTTGCCTTGTATGCATGAGGCCCTGGGTTCGATTCCTCAGCACCACATGAGCAAAAAGAAAAAAGCCGGAAGTGGCGCTGTGGCTCAAGTGGTAGAGCGCTAGCCTTAAGCTGAAGAGCTGAGGGACAGCACGCAGGCCCAGAATTCAGGCCCCAAGACCAGACCCCCACCAAAAAAAAAGAACAAAAAGAAAAAACTAACACTGTTTATTTTCTTCTAGTATTTGAATGTCTAAATACTTGGCTTTTAAATACATTTATTACTTTAACTCATTATGATTTTTTAAAAAAAGTTTCATAAGAGATTCAAAGTGGTTACATAAGTAATGTTGTGATCCAGAACATTAGCAAGTCTAACACTTATTGTTATGCTATCCTGACATCTACATCCTTAAGCACTTAAATATCTAATTCCAAAGAGATGGTAATATGAACAAAGAAACTGTATGATTTTTGGTCATTCCAAAAACAAGAGATCTTTGTAACTGATGTGATGCTGGTTTGATGCTGGAGCAGATTGCTAACACTTTTAAAGGCATCTATCTTGTGGAACTGGTGTTCTTCCCATTGTACATAAGAAAGACATGGAGGCCAAGACACTTCACAGCAATACTGATGTCTTAGCATCCTATAAGGAAGAAATGGTAGGTTTTGTTTTTTATTCTCAAACAGTAAAATGGACACAGGCAAGGCAGGATTCCTTAAGTCAAAAGGTCAGTTACAGAACTAAAAACACAATGCATAGCAAAATTCTTACAAAGACTCCACGCTAGTTATAGAATATTTAAAATAAGCAAAAGTATGTATAGTTCCTAGTTCACTCTTTGGCAAATGTCATTTGTTTGAAAGGAAATCAAAACAGATTTGGCTTCATCTACATCATAATGTTTTACAAATTTCACTT